AAATTTTTGCTTTTGATTGTATCCCACATAATTCTCAGGGTCTCTTCATTTTTCTTCATTCTTTTTTCTGAGTTTTCCTCAGAGTTGTATCCAAGTGTTTGTCTTCAATTCCGCTTATCCTGTCTTCCACCGTTTCAAATCTGCTCCTCAGCCCTTCTATGACACTGTCCATTTCTGAAATATTGTTGTTTACCTTTTGGATTTCTGATTGTTGTTTTTGTATGATTTCTAGTTGTGAATTTATTTTAGCATTTTGTTTCTGTATTATTTTCTTGAATTTTTCCATTTTTTGTCTGCATTTTCCATGAATTTGTCTATTTTTTCCTCATTTTTGTCTGTTTTTTCCTTCAACTTTTGGATAAGTCTGAATATTAGAGATTTGAATTCTCTATCAGCTTGGTTTAGTGCCTTTTCTCCTACTGGAAGGTCATCTGGTATTTTATTTTGGACACCTACTGGAACTATCCTGTCTTGTTTTTGTAAATGTTTTGATATTGTCTGCTGTCTTCAGTCTGCATTCAGTGGTTATTTTCCTCGTTTATTGATTGTAGATTTGTTTGTTTTGTCCTGCTTTTTTGTTTTATTTTGTTATGTCTGAGCAGGCAGGCTGTGCATTCTTTGTTGTTTGCTCGTCCGTGGACACTACAGTTTTCACCTCCTTCTCCAACAGGCAGGGTCAGTCACTCAGGTATGGTACAGCAGGGCAGGTCCAGCTAAAAGACAGTTGCTGGGATAGATTTTTTGTGGCACGTACCAGGTCTGACAGTGCAGGCTGGGAATCTGTGCAGGACAGTTTCCAGTAGGCCATGCCTGTGTTGCTTGGGAGTGTGATGTTCAGCTCACGGTACAGGTAGGCAGAAAGGAGAGGGTAGATTGTGATGTGTGGAGCTAAGATGGGTATAGGAAAGATGACAGAGAAGAGAATGGAACAGGACAAAGATATACACACAAACAAAAAAGAGTTCTAAGGGAGCCTGCTATTGGAGTGGAGAGATGAGAGACTGAGAAGTGAGGAAAAGCAAAAATGAAAAAAAAGAAAAAGGGTAAAAAAAAAATGAATAAATCTAGAAACTGGAAATGAAGAAAGGCAAAAAGTGAATAAGAGAGAGAAGAAAACTAAACAAAGAAATGAAAAAAAGCAAAACCAAAAACAAACAAGAAAAAAGAAATGCCCCCAGGGATGTCCCTATGCATCTGCGCAGAATAAGGGACTAGCTTCCAAGCCACGTGGTACTGCCTGGTTAGAAGGGGCTCCCAAGCCAAGAAAAGGAAAAGAAAACAAACAAACAAACAAACAAATTGAAACAGAACAAATCAGAGCAAACAAAAAAGCCCCGAGGGTCTCACCAGCATGGCGGCACGGGCTGGGAAGAAGTTTCATAGTCAAGCAGTGTTTCACAGCCTTTCAGGAAGAAGCAAAGATGGCACACGGAGCCAGGTATTTGAGAGAAAGGAGGAGGAGGTGGTAAGAGGTAAGGAAGAACTCTAAAGAAGCAGAA